ATTGTCTACATCCGACTCTATAAAGTGCTGAATTGATTAGCTCGTTCTTGGATGGTAATCTCCATCTCTTTGATTCTATCTTTATACTTGGATAGAAACCTCTAGGATATTACCATCAAGATATCGCAAAGTGGTAGATGAGGAGCCGACGCCAAAATGAGAGTAATATTGGGATGTTTGTGATCCGACACTCGTACACTCTCTCGCTTCTTCTCCTTTCCTACAACATCTAAATATATCTTGCATATGTTGATGCTTGGAGACAATGAATCACCCTCATGCTACTCCTTATCAATTACTTCTTACATTGACTACACGTACTCCCGCATCATTAAAATAATATAATATTACATCATAAATATATTTTTTTAGAATATATTGATTGATGTATATTTACAAAAATAAAAACTTATCATTATTGTCTTGGACCATCTCGTTGACGAATGACTCATCTTTCTCGCTTGTGAGTTATCACAAACAACTTGTAAAGATTTGAGTTACAACCAATTTATTATACTAAAAAAATAAATAAAATAATATGAGATATAATAAATGCAAAACTAATTTATAACACAATGGATAATAGGATTTGTCAAACATTTAACATGTTTAATCAAAGAGATGGACCCCTCGATATGTCCGAATGGACCAACATTGACACCATTCGTCTCTAACATGCGGTTTTGGGATGTTTGTTAATATCGGACCCGGAGTGTGGCCCAATCCCGATACCATGCTTCTCACACCCGTTATTTAATATATGTGGATTTGTCATTCCTATTCTTTAGCTTGTTCGGCATATCGTCGTATCGCTATACGTCGGACTCTACCATGCATCCTTAATCGGAGCGTCGACGAGTTAGATCCCATAAAAGTATTTCTACATAAAGAAAAAAATAATATTAGTGAATTTTATGTTAAATTAGCAATTTAAATAAAATATAAGTAAATAATTAATTTGTTATCCTAAACTCATTAAAGTAGAAGTTTTTTTTATCTCTATAGAGATAGACTTCCATATGGAGCCAATGACATCCAACCATTCCTTGAAAATTACGATGATTTTTTGAAGCATTTACTTAATCCTAACAAAATAAATCTAAATGATGATAAGAATAGCATTTCCTACTCCAAGTTAGCCAACACTTCCATACATGCTCGAGAGCATCCATGCCACCACTTCATTAATAACAATCAAGATACCCAACAACTTTTATGCACTCGTTCAATGGTGCATGATCCTCACATTCATTATTGCCCATTTCAATGATCTTTAAACCAACAAGCAATTGTATCGATAGTCCAAATGTAACAATAGGAGTGATACCAAGTTCCATGATAATACCATGCTTTGAAGCAAGAATAACACATATCCTATAAAAAAATATGCACCAATTGTTGAATGAATACCATACAATGACGAGTTGATTGCGTACAAGAAAATAAAAAGAGCAATATAGTGTATATGATTTTTTCATGGAATAAAATTTTTCTACCAAGACTCTAAAATTTAGGAAGAAATGACGAAACGGTGTAACAAAATGAAGCACACTAAATCTACCTCCCATCCTTTTCCCTTAATTGTTTAGCCTAGAGTGGTTGGTTGTGGTGCTCAAGATCCGTAGATAGGTTACGACCGGAGTTAGGGGGAGGATGATGGAGGTCATGGTTGGAGGATGCTCGTTGGTTCGATTAAGGATGAAGAGGAAATGAGTGATGATGAATTTGATTAGAGGAGAGAGAGATTCGATTATAGGAGAGAAAGAGAGAGGTTTGGGTTAGAGATGGGGGGTTGTTTTAAGCTAGTATGGTGGTTGTCCGAGTTAGGAACTAGTGGCGGTCATGGGCTAGAGTCATTGGTGGTCGATGAGGATAACGGTACTGCTAACGGTAGCGACTAAAAAAGAGAGAAAGGTTTAGTTCCAAGACAAAGGTTCAACCGTAATTTTTTCTTAAAGAAGATGATGAATAGTGAAAAGTATCAAAAAATGAAAGAGAGGAGGGTATTTATAAGCAGATTTTAGAGCTTTTTAGGCAAAGGTCAATTGCCACGATTCCTCATAAATCATCAATTTAAGTGTGATTTTGATTGTTTTTTTCCTTAATTGTATCCTTCCCTTCTTTAAATTAAGGATTCAAGGTTTTGGATTTTCAATTGCACTCTCGATTGAGTTTTCTTTGATCCCTATACTTCTTATTTTATTTTTAATTAAACCCAAAAATCATTTTTTTCTAAATAACTCTCATTTTTCTTTTTTTTTTTCTTTTGAGTCATAAATTTAAAAATAAGTCGATAAAAATTAGGATGCTAACATATGCAAAGCATATTACTTATCAATTATTCACGATCGAAATGGTCCATCCAAAATCGGATCCGAGTAGAGCTTTTTAGAGCCGAGGAAATCATCATAAGGACATCCGTAACTAGGGGCACTACCACCGAGGGCAATCATTTTCAAAGGCACTACCGGTGGGGACATCGACGTGTCGGTGCCACTATCAAGTCCACGACCACGACAATTGCACCGGCAATGTCACGTCCATGTACAGGCACCATTATCGGTGGCACAATCACGAAACCGCCGGTATCAATGCCACGACCACCGACACTATCACCATCCGAGCCACGACCACTAGCGCGATGACCAAATCCGCTCAATCCATGAGACATAACTCTAAAATAACACCTAAAACGAGTTTAACAAATACAACAAATGAATAGCAATTCAATTGAAAATATATTATAAATTGTTTATCTATAAAACAAACAAAATTCAGCTCAATCTCCCTTGTAAATTAGATATTCCCTTCATTCAGATTAATCCTAATACAAACCTACTTAAATTTAAATCTAATCAAATTAACTCTAATTCAAACCTAATTAAATTTAACTAATAATTAATTAACAATTTCTAATATAAAAAAAATTAAAAATCAACCAATTAGTCAAATTTAACATAATTAATTAATTAAACCTAAATCAAATTCATCTAATTAATTCTAATTCAAACCTAATTAAATTTAACTAACAATTAATTAACAATTTCTAATATAAATAAAATTAAAAATCAACCAATTAATCAAATTTAATATAATTAATCAATTAAACCTAAATCAAATTAACCTTATTAATTCTAATTCAAACCTAATTAAATTTAAACATAAATCAAATTAACCATAGTTCAAACCTAATTAAATTTAAACATAAATCAAATTAACCCTAATTCAAACCTAATTAAATTTAAATAATAATTAATTAATAATTTCTAATATAAATAAAATTAAAAATCAACAAGTTAATAAAAATTAATGTAATTAATTAATTAAACCTAAATGAAACTAACAACTAATTAATAAATTAACCTAAGAATTGACAAAAAAAATTAGCCTAATTAATTAAACCTAAATCAAACTAACAATTAGTTAACAAATTAACCTAACAATAAACCAAAAATAACAATTTAACAAATTAATCAACAAATTAACAATGAAAGCTATATAAAATTATAAATCAACCAATTAAATTTTAAATTAACCTAATAATTATGAAAATAACTAATTTTTAAGGAACAAGAGAGAGAGAGAGAGAGAGAGAGAGAGAGAGAGAGAACTTACCTAATTCAGACTTAAAGAAAAAGAGAGGAAGGAAGGGAAAATGGAGTTTTTTAAGGAGAAGAGAGTTTGGTGTGGGTGTGGATTGACCGGAAGTAGAGGAGTGTAGTTTTCTAGAAGTTTTGGGTGGGGTAAGAGCCCGTGGCTAGAGAGGAGAAGCTAGAAAAAGAACAAATGAGGGAAGAAATAAGGACAACGGGGTTTAATTAGAAATTCGGACCAACGACGAAGTGATCCCGTCACTAGTCCGTCACTATTTAGCGACGGAATAAGTGTCCATTGCTAATCCATTATAAAATGGATGGCTAATTAATTCTAGAAGGCCGTCTATTTTTTTTATAACCAAGGACGAAAACATTTTCATCGGCTATCCAATGACGAAAATTAAATTTGTGCTTCTATTCTATTGTCAAATGTGGAGCTTTTTTATTTCAAAAGGTCGCTCATTTTTTTAAGATTTAGCGACAGATTTAGTACTTTAGGAATGGACTACAATCCGTCATTATTTTTTGGCATAAGAAGAAGAAAGACATGAGTGTCAATTTACAAATTCATTGACAAATTTGATAATCATCTCACCGGAAAACTTATGAAAGGATTATTATGTAAATGCTAATTCAGTTGAATTAAACTCAACCAACGAAGATCTAATTTAAACTTATAAAGTTATTGAAGATTTTGTTCCTATACCATTTCACTTTCTGGAACATTACCCTCACGGCCTCACTATGTAATTAAATAAATATATCTCTAATTTCTTGGTTTCAGTGGAACTTAGGTGAAGGTTCCCAGCTTTTAGGGTTGTCCAAATTAACCTACTCGAACTCTTGTGTATGAAAACAAATTAAGCTTTGTTAAAGAAATACAACACTTACGTCAGTACCAAATCAAAGTATGTACATAGTGCTCGAGCAGTTGAAGGTTTAACTTAGAGGAACATATTTTCACATTATATTATTTTCTTGGGCTGGTAATTTCAGCGAAGATTAAGCCTTAGTCGCCGTTCTCGAGTTGCCTACTGAAATTAAAAAAATGGCACCATGACCTTAGCTTAATGAGGTATGGATTCCTTGCTTTATCACTCTAATTTTACGACTAACATGGCCTTGATACTCTAATAAATAACAGAAAGTTCCAAAATATTTCAAAAATGTAAGCGGGGCCATGTAATATAGAAACATAAGATAGGTTCAAGATTTCAAGTCGTTATCAATTGCATGTCCAAGAAAAAGGAGAAAGGAGAAATACCTGCACAATCTACAAAGTGGATGGTATTCTTTTAAATATGATAAAAGTACAGTGGCAAATAGGTAATCGAGACTCTTTATAAATCCCATTGAACAATGCCCAAGAAATTAACCCCACCACACTTAAAGACCAAGAGAAAAATGGTTAGCTCCCCATCCTACCTAAAAACCTTGCACCCTCTTCAAGTTTTCTCTACAAAGTCACCATCTTCTGCCATAAGCTCCATGAAGATCAAAACCCTAATCCACACCCACTTCATCTCACACGTGTGCCGCATCATTCGAGCTCTATCCAAAGCAAAATCCATTCTCATTGAGATTCTTAAAGAAAACCAACGCATACACTTCATATCCCCTACAAAAAACACAAAAAAGAAGCAAAAGAATAGGAAGATATTCCTTGGCTCGTTTAGGCTACACTATAACTGGTGCTCTTCACATGTGTTACCAGTGCCAGAACCAGTTCTTGATGGGTTCTCAGCATCCCACTTCTACTATGACTCTTCATGGAATTCTGTATTTACAAAGGAGCAGTGTGAGCACAACACTGAATCTCAGCTTTCAGGGTACCTTCACTGGCTAGAAGAGAAAGTTGATGATGAGGATTCTAATGGTTCTGAGAAAGATATCAATCGGCTAGCGGATTTGTTCATTGCAAACTGCCATGAAAAGTTTATATTGGAGAAGCAAGAGTCCTATAGGAGATTCCAAGAAATGATGGCTAGAAGCATGTGAATGTGAGGATGTTTTGTATTTTGGTGTAGTTTTTCTTTTGCTTTCCCATTCTTCTATGTTAGAACATTGGTTGGATGAGGAAAGTAGATAGTAGTGGTCGTATTGAGTTGCAAGGGGTTTATCTTTTTGGGTTCTTCTTTCTTCCTTTTGATCTTGTGCTTTATTTTGAAATGGTGGAAGCATAGAGAGTTAGTTGTACATGACATGGAGAAGGGGAGAGGAGGGGAGGGGTTAATTTGTGCAATTCCTGACCGCTTGAAATATGATGATGCTTGCAACCTTCAAGATTGCAGTGGTGGGAGTGTGTTCTGTTAATCTATCATGGAAATTGTTCTAAAATTTTCCTTTCATTTTTTTTTATTTTTGGTCTTTCTATGTCGGATCTCAGTAGACATAATTTTCATTCTCTACTTACCACTTACATTACTTATCCTCTTATCATGGGATGCACATGAGCTTGGAAAAGGATTATATATATATATATATATATATATATATCTTTCAACCCACCTAGCTCCTCTGCTTTTTTTTTTTATTTATTTAACGGAAAATCCAAAGGATTAGGAATTAATAGTCCTTTCCCAATTCCAAATCCTCACTCCACTCATCTGGAGATTTGAATATGATTTTTTTTTTTTTTCGTTTTTTAGGAAATCTCTAATGTTAGTAACTGAAGCATGTATATGCTTGGAGTTTTTTTTTTTTTTTTTTTTTTTCTCTTAAAGACTATCTGAAAGTCATGTCATTTGTGTGCTATAGTTTAGTAAGCCATGCGAACCTATGCTTTTTGTATCTGTGTGCGTGGCGGAAAATTTTTAAAATATTCGAAAAACAACTATTGTAAGTGTAAATTGATAAAAAAAAAAAAAAAAAAAAAAAAAAAAAACTACTGTAAGTCTAAAATTTTTTGCATGTTACGTTAAGGTAAAATATATTTTCATTACAAATAATTTTCATGAAAAGAAGAGGAAAAAATTTTTTTATTTTTTTTGAAAACTAATTACTCTATAAAGTAACAATAATATATATATATATATATATATAGTCATGACTAAGCGATTATAGGTTCTACAAGCTCTGCCAAGCGAGCATCTTTTGGTTACAATTGTAATTATGATTGTGCAAAGCATTATTTTCATAAAAAGGGGTATATGTATATAGTGGTGCAGCCTCAAGAAAAGTTAAAATTGGGTGAAACCTCATTTTCGCCAATAATGTATTAGTTGTTGATTCTAATTTTGTCTTGAAACAATAATTTTATGTAACATTTTTAATCAATAAGATCCTTTTCCCCGAAATTATCGCAATTTTTTTTATGGAAAGCATCAAATTCTCTTCAAAATGGTGTAATTTTATTGCATATTATTTTTTAAAAAAATACTGACAGCGGAACTGTGGAAGGACACAGTTAAGAAATGTATAGAATTTTAAAAACCTAGTTGAAAAACTTTTTAGTATGGAACCGATTAAAAATTGATGGGGTTGGGAAGTAAGTTGAGAGGTTTTCCCTTTTAAAACTCAATTATATGAACATATATACACCACATCAAACAGGTTTTTCTGCTTTAGATTTTTAGTAAAAAAACAACCTTGTAGGCTTAATTGTCAAAGACTCCAAGCTTATCATCTTAATTACAAGTGAAAAGTAAGCAGTACGTGCATCTTTCAAGTTCTATTACTAGTCATGAATATGATAGTTAGGTTCTTGATTTAACCACTCTAACATCTCATCCGATTGCGTTTGTATGGGTGCATTTCCCATTATGATCCCAGCAGATTATTTGAGCTCACTATATACGTTGATAGTTGTGCCAATCATGTTGCGAAACTTAGCCGTATTTTGGACTGGGTCAATCTCTCTTGCCTTGGGCTCCCCTCTCTTTCTGTTTTAATTAATTAGCTATCACCATGGTGATATATCTAATTAATCTACATTAAAGTTGGGATTAGTTTTAAGGGTCTCTTCTATCATGTCATAAGGTGCTGAACACAGCATATCGATGTGGAGCCGAATGTGATTCTTTATAGAATTATTACAAAAAACATTTAGACTAAAAACAAATTATACAGAGAGACTATATAGCAATGACTTCGAAATTTCGAACTTAATAACATTACTAATGATTTTTTATGGCCGGTGGAACTAGGCGACAATTGTATGCAATGCAGACAAGTTTTTGTTTTTTGTTTTTTTTTCCAAATCATTTGACCATTGAACGTATGTTTGTCGACAGATGAACCAATTCAGCTACTTCTAATATTACCATACGTACTGTGAAAGCACGCAGCATTTCATATGTCCAGAACACTGAATTTCATAGCAGCAGCTGATGCCTTTTGATACTTAAAAAGTTTATGCGTTGTCCACTATCGAATTCGCGGAAGTTGCCCCAGATACTCATGTTTGTCTGAACACTTTTTAAACAAGAGACTAACCATTGTATTACAGTGCCTACACTATCTTTCTATGTAACTGCTAAATTTATATGCCAGCAGAAAATGAGATTCCTTATTCTAACTGCTTTATAAGCTCACTCTCACTAATTGATGACAGCGTAAACCGAGCTTAAGTACTTTATTTTTTAAAATAAGAACATCCATCAAAAGTTAGAAGAAAAGATAGTCATATGTAATAATAAATTAATGGGGAAACCTCAATTTCATCAAAAAAACAAATTATCAATTGGGTCATTGATGTTTTACACATATCTGAATTAGATCCTTCAGTGCATGCTTTTTAGCAGTGTCTACCAAATCGTCATCAAATGTTCTTTTTTGATGCATGAACACGCAAATTAAACAGAAATCATCGATAAACAAAGATAGAAGGACCAATTAACTTGGATATGTTTGAAATATTAGGGACCTGATGGTGAATTTTTTAATTTGGAATGACATTGAGACTTTAACAATAAGGGTTCATTTTGATCAGGTTTCCCCTGCATTAAATCTAGGAAGCTAGGTGTCCTCTCAAGTACACCAGGAAAATCTTAATGAATCTTGGTATGATCATACAAGCACATGGAAATGACAAGAGCGTAGAGTACATGACGTTAAATAAGCTACTAATGCACATAATCAAACTCATGTTCTCAAATCAGAATCTATATATAATCAAGTTATAGCCAACTGGTACCTAAATATATCACATCCCACCTGATATAGATTCTATCCAATTATTACGTTTACCTTACAACTTGCAAATAACTTTGCGTATAGATACCTTCTTTATTAGCTAGAATAATTACTAATTTTCTCTCTTTTTTTTCATTTTTTTTCCAAGTCAATGTGTGGCAGGGTCTTCAATTACTATAAGGAGTAGAAGTAACTAATTAAACAAGCCAAGACTGTTCGGTTTTCAAGCTTTCGTGTACAAAGTTTTTAGTGAAGTTGGGTAAGGCATCAATGATGCTTTTTTTTTTTTTTTTTTACTCCTGTATGTTTGTTCTTTATTCCAAAACTTCCTTTGCTGCTTTTAGCTAAGAGAGGAAGGGGATATGGATAGGCAAACTTTTAGGCTTTAGCAGATCAAAACTGGTTCCTTTGGTATCTTTAAAGAAATTTGTTTATAGACTAACTTTAGAAAAACGGTGATGCCTGAAATTTTTATTTTTATTTATGATGATCAAAACTAGCTTCATGCCAACTGTTTATCATATATTAGAAATTGTTTGGGAGTTTAATTAATATGTGATAATCAACTGGTTAGCTATGGTTGATCTCCAACTGCTTATAGAAAATTGTTCAGTTTTTACTTGGAAAATTCGAATCTAAAATAGACCGCAGCTCAAAACACAAGAAACGACATTGCTCAGCTTGGTCCAAGTTGTTAGATGCGCAATCACTTTCTACGTGAATGGTCGTCACCCCCATTTAACCTGAACATGTAGTTCAAACTTTAATTCCAGGCAAAAAAACTTTATGAAAGGATTTGTGTTTTGAATTCTTGTTTGGCATTAGCAGACAACATCTTTACAAAAAAAAAAATTCTCAATTCAGCAAAGGATGACATAGTACCTCGTGCATAGATACTTTACTTAATTAGAAAATAAATTATCTTAAAGAAAATTATGGTATTCATATTGGCTAATTGTTCTATAAAAAATTATTTGATCTATGTATGAGTCTAGTTACATTTCACTTAGCTATACGAGATTGCATTACGTTCATACTAAGGGATGGGGGTAATGCAAAGGAGAAGCATCCTCGTTGCTCGCATGATTGAACACCCAATAATGTGCCTTCCAATAATGTGCCTTCCGATCAAGGAATAAACATCATAAGTAGCCACAAATAATATATAATTATGAATATAAAAAGTGATCATAAAGAAGTTCAAGAAAGGCTGTCCATATAGGGATGGACAATTTTTTCCCCCGAAGCGGGAACAGGACTTTGGAGGTAATTTAATTTTAAGGTTTATCTCGTATTTGTATCATATATTATTTGAATTTTTTTTATTGAGATTTTTTATTTCTTTATTTTAGTTTAATTCAGACCTTTTACTTTTTAAGATTTTTTACTTCAAACCCTTCATTATAATATTACTAATTAGTGATCGATACATCACCTCTACTCTCTTCGAGATTTTTTACTTTATAATATTATATATCAATCATTGACTAATTGTGTTATAATAGTGTCTAGAGCAAAAAATTTTGAAAAGTAAAAGGTTTCAATTAAGGTAAAAAAAATTGAATAAAAAAATACAAGGTCCAAATATGGAGAAAATCCTTTAATTTTACATATTAAAATTAAATATAAAGTCCTTTTTTAATCAATTTTTAAACAAATTATTTTTAAAGTAGTATTTGCAATGGTATATAAAACAGGAGAAATGAGACCTAACAATACTAGAACGACGCAACTATAGGTGGGGGGTTTTGAAATTTGATTAAACAATTTGTAGGCAGATCAATCATAGCATAGAAAGTAATTGTTGTGATTTACAAAAATAACGATCAATTAATCAAATAAAATGAATACAAGTAGCGAGATACGTGAGATTAAAAGCAAAAAGTACTGGTAAGGCACAATTCAAATAGATAGAGTTTATGATAATGTCCGGTCTTTAGGCGGGAGAATTTTGTGTGAGAGAGAGAGTTTAAGGATTTACTAGAGATCAAAAGTTAAAATCTCATCACAATAATATGATATTAGTATTTATAATGAATTGAAGATGATCATTAACCATTAAATATGTGCCACAACATTTATGTTTGGATGATCATATTTGAATTGAAAAGAGTTAAATTTTTTTAAGCTAAATTGTTCCAATTTATTATAAAAGGCTAAAAAAAGTAACGATTCATCATTTTGTTTATCCGTTCATGCTCTAAATCTATCAAGTCAATTTCTCTAATATATTTCAACGATCAGACATTGGCACTAGTTTTGTTAGATTACCAATGTCCATTCTTATGGAGCTTAAAATCTTATGTTGGACGAGATTTGTTCTTGGTGTCATTTATTTATTATGTAGCTTGGGTTCAAACAGAAACTAAAAAAATGAATTAACACATGATAAAACTAAATAAAAATTTAATTAATTTTTATAGACTAATTGAAGTATATAGAGACTATATCGCAGTTTAACCAAATTATGGAATTTAGTTATTCAAATGTGAAAAATAGGATGTAAGTTGATTTTTCCACACGAATAAAAGGATTATAAAGTAGATCTTTTAGAATTTTAAGATGAGTTTGTTTTCCAATTTTCAATGTATCATACTGTACGATTTTAGATAGACAGCATGTTAATCACGTACGTATGAATTGAGTTGCTCATTTATCCTCGTTATGTTATCAGAGGAAAAGTTAGCTACTTCTTACAGTTTTACCAGTTTGTTACCCGCATTAAGTCGTAGATTTGATTGAATAAAATTATTTTAATATTTTTTAATATTTAAATTAATTAATTAATTAATTTTTTTTTCATAAATTTCTTTTTAAAAAAATTATCATTTATTCTTCTTTATGCATTGATTCTTGAATAAAAAATTATAATAATTTAAAGTAAAATATTAATCAAGGATTAAAAAAATAAATACTTTAAAAATATATTTTTCATAAGAATATATCAAAAAATAAAGTTATAATTAACGTATAAAATTATATAAAAAAATATTAATTAATAAAAAACACAAACTTTGACTCTTATCTAATACTAATGAGAAGATTATTTCTTAAAAGTACATGCGTTTGATCTATATATATTTATTTATAAAATAATTAACAATGCTAGCATAAAAAACATGTATTTAAATAATTAGATGGTTCATTTAATTTTTTTTTATTATTATTTTATTTCAAAGAAACTGATTCTATGATGTTAGAAAAAATATTCATAGAAATAGTTGGAGTGACATGTGAAGATATATAGTTAATTTTTAATAAAATTGATGATTGAATAGTTTTTTTTTTTAATCGTCTTGACCATACTTAGGTGTCGTTTGGTTATCATGAATGAAAGATCCAAAATGAAAATGAAAATTAAGGAATTGGAATGGCATTTATATTCTCATAACGTATTTGGAATACTAATAAGAAATCAAAATGCAATTTAAACTTTTTAATATCTGATTTTTTATACAAATAAAAATAATAATTAAAAAAATAATTTTATCAAAGTATAATAATTGTAAAAATAATAAAGGTGGTGGTGCCGGTGCCGGTAGCGAAGGCTATGGTAGCAATGGTTCTAGTAGTGGTGGTGGTGATTGTGGTGGTTGCGGTGCTAGTGGTGGTTACGGTGGTGGTAATGGTGGTGGTGGTGGTGGTAAAAGTAGTTTATAGACAACAAATAAATAAAATATATTATTATTTTGAAAAAAAAATAATTATCATTCCTTATTTTTATTCTCACATCTTATATGTGAATGAAGTTGTGTGTATATTTTTATTCACATTCTCATTCTTACTCTTCATTCTCATTCTAACCTCATTCCTTTTAACCAAACAACTACAACGTGAGAATAAAATGTTCATTCTCATTCTCATTATTCTATTCCTAATTACCAAATAGCATATTAATGGATTGAGACAAATTATCCGAAATATACTTTTAAACTTTTAGATTAAAATAATAATTAATTATGTATATGTAATTATCATTTCAAAATTATAAGAATCAATGACATTTTATGTCAATTTATTTTATATATTTTATATCAATCATCATTTGAAAATAATTATTATTTTAAAATTCAAATACAAAGAAAAAATAAACTATATTTATTAGAAAATAAAATTTTATGAGAAAATATTAATTGGATGCGGATTTTCATAAAAAATAACAAATTTAAAGAATAAATTATAAATAATAAGAGTAATATAATCTAAAACATATTTTAATTTTAAAATATAAAAAGATATTAGGTATATTTTATCCTTGTCATGCTGCATGACAAATACAAATAATAACATTCGTTCCATAATTTTTTCATAAAAATTCCTAATTAAAAAAATTAAAGAAGAGGAAAAAAAAAAAAAAAAACCAAGGTGCAAGCGTTTAGGCCTGGAGCAGTTGTGTAAAATTCGATAATTATATGGATTTAATTTTTATTTTTCATTAGATATCAACTATCATATAATAATTGTAAATATAAAAAATTATGGTTTTTTTTTTTATTAATGGAGAATCCCAAACTCAACCCAAATCCAATTCTTTCTATACATGGGACAAAAAAATAAATAAAAAAGGTGTCACCGGCTCCAAACTCATTCCATTACCATCCGATTTCAGCCCCTTAAATAGGTATTAACCAGATGAAAAAATAAAATTTGAACAAATACAAATAACACAGCACCATTCATTAACGTGGGGGCATTAAATGGCGCAGGCAAGATGGAAATTGATAATAAAAACTTATCAAGGTAAAAAAAGATAGAAGAATAGTTGGAAGGCATAGAGGTAAAAAAAACAAAAAACAAAACCAAACAATGTCAAAACAAAAAATAAGCCAAAAAAAGGGCACAAAACACATCACCTCCAAGACCAAAACAAACGTAGACCCACATTGGAATAAAAAAAAAAAAAAAATGGCCATCGAACAAGCGAGATCCAAGGAACCAAACAGCAAGGCAAAGGAGAAGATGATCGGATGGCCGAGGCCAGGCAAGGAGGCAGCACAGTGCAGCTGAGTCATAGTCTATAGCGACCATGAGTGTAGGGGTACAATATATGAATACTGAATATATGACAGTTCTTTTAATTTTCTTTGTAATGTCACGTGTTCAAAACATAATTTTTGTATTTGGTTGAAACTGAAAATCTCTAAATAATATGTTTTTATTATATTTGATTCATTCTTAGGGATTTGTGAGAAATTAATATAAGTTTATTAATTTACGCTTGAAATTTATAATATCTAATTTATCAACATGATATATTTTTTTCTAAATAATTATGCATATAAACACAAATATAATATAATAATTATCTTGAAAACTAATTCTCATATATATATATATATATATATATATATATATATATATATATATATATATATATATATTTATTAAGGACATCTTAGTTCGTTTAAAATAAAAAAATAAGGACATTAAAGTTTCAAAAAAGAAAAAAGATGAAAGAAAAAACCACATTCCGTCCCACAAAGGAATGTAACTTCCTTCATTTTAGAAAAGGAATGTGATGTCCTAAAATATCTCATATAAATTGATATTTTAATATTTCTTGACAAAATAAACGCAAATATTGTTTATATCTGAGATTGTTTGGTAAAATAAATCTAAGATATTCTCATACCAAACACCACTTAAAAATCGAGAAAATTATAAAATAGTCTTTCTCATTTTAAAAATTGAATTAATTAGTTTTTTTCGTTTTAAAAACTAATAACTTAATTTTTTATTAGTTTTTTGTTAGATTAGTGATGTTTTTTTCCAAATTGTTCTTTTTTAATGCTTTATTTCTCTTTTTCACTCATTTCATTTCTCTCTCTTCAACAAAAATCAAAAGAAAGGCAATTTAACAATAAAAATCATTAATCTAACAAAAAAATTTGATGAAATGAATAAGTTATAGATAAAATTAAAACGTAAAAAACTAAATAATTAGTTTTTAAAATAAAAGATACAAATTAATTTGTTTCTCAAAATGAGAGAGACTAATTTACAATTTGCTCCTTGAAAGTCATATGTTGTCCGTTGGCCCCTTGCAGGTTAGATTTTCCTTTCTTTTGCTTGAAAATTGAAATTCACAATTGGGTTGGGGTTTCCTTAAACACGGGCCAAATTCCTTCCAACAAGATCAGGCTTGCCCATTTAAAGAGAGCATAGGCTTGGTGATAAATTTTTGGGCTGCTCTTTGGGCATTAACCAGCCTAGAGAAGATCCAACCCACACTATCCAGACCCAACTCATATCCACCTGTTTGCCAC